GCTCTCACACTGACTTGCAATGTTCCTTGTGCCCCAGGTGCTGCTGTTTCTTTAAGAGGAAAAGGAAGAAGACTGCTCAGCGCCATAAGTGACCAGTGCCTCCCAGGAGTCCTCAGGTCCTGGGGACTCTGACTCGATTGCACCTGCAGCTCCTGCCATTTCTCATTGGAAAGGACTCCTCTGCAGGGGAGGGTGGAGATCCAAACCAAAAAGAAGAAAAGAGATGCCCCCAGAAGGAGCCAGTGTGGGCAGCCAGGGCCCAGGGGGTCAGTGGCTGTCCCCACCTGCCTGAGGCTCTGAGCAGGTCCCAGAGCTGCTGCTCCTCCACTGCTTGCCCTCAGGGCCACTTGGTTGACTCTCCTTCCTATTGTTTACAGTGAAGGTGTCATTCACAAAAACTCAAGGACTACTATTCTCTTCCCGCCCCTTAGTTTACTCCCGGTCCTTGCCCCACCCTCAACCTTCTCCAGCACTAAAGCTAGTGAGTTGAAGGCTTTGTCTGCCGAAGGAACTCTAGAGGCTGGGCTTGTGGCCAAGAAGGTAGGAGGAAGATGGCAGGCCTGAGCTGGAGAGGAACCCTCTCCACCTTCCAGGGATATCTGGCTCCCTCTTCCTCTGTGCCTGCCCAGCCTCCATCCTCAGCTGGCCATGGGTACAGTTTACTCCCTCCCTCCCTCTTATGAGGTTACACTGTAGGACACAAGCTGTGAGAAATCTGCAGTCTACTGTCCCCGTGTGTTGGCGTTCTTAGCTTTCTTGACAAGTGTGAACTCTATTCTCCAGTCAGTAGTAGAACAATGCAAATTGTTCTGAGCAAAGGAAAAAAACTGACTTTATTGCACTTTTAGTTTATTGGTTTTTTTGTGTTTTTGTTGGTTTTTTTTTTAACAAAAAAAAATGGCAGATGCATATTGTGTCTGATTATATTGGGAGTTTTACTTTTTTTCTGTTTTGAGGGGGATGGGGCCAGCCAAGCCATTCAGAAAGAACATGGGTCCAGAGGACATCTCAATGGAAAGAGTTGGGTCAGCAGCACCCAGAAGAGAAGAAGCCAAACTCTATGTCATTCTGAGTAAACACTCAGGTTGGCAAGAAAACATACTTGAATTTTCATTCATCTTCTCAGCTACTGAAGAATGTCCTACCAGAGCCTCTTGACCTTATCAGCCTGCAGTTTGGACAACCTAACCTCTACGACACATGGGATGAGCCAGCCAAGCCAGACTATGACCAGGAGATATTTCATCCCAGAGAAGGAGATAATTTAAAAACAAACTGAAACATCTGTTTCCTCCACTGCCAGGGATTTCCAACTAGATAGCCATGTAACTTCCTTATCGATTTTGGGGAACACAATTAGTGATGAAACAGCTACCACCATATTACCACTAGTGGACAAAAAGAGAGGAAAATGAATCTGCCTTCCAACTGCCAAAGGAAACTCAGGATTTGGCATCATAGGGCCAGGAAATAAAATCGGTATGTACTGTCTGCCCCAGGAGCTGAGTCAGACATTTGGGCTGACCTGCCTTATCAGAAACCAAGCACCTGCAGATTTTCCCCTAGCAGGTCCACAGCAGCAGGCTTAGGACTCAGTACGTGGGGCTGGAGTAGCAGGAGGGGGAGATTAATTGGTGCTGGAGGATTCCAGGGGAAAGGAGACTGAAATGAAAGCTCTGAAATTATCTTCTCAATTAGACATAGACTCCTTCCAAATAAGATGGCCTTGCATCTAGGGCGTGTTCTCCCCAGTATGCTCTCCGCCACCCCACCCCCCACATCGTGTAGTCACATGACATACTGCCATGAAGAGTCTTGGTTCCTCATTGATTGCTTTAAAAAAGTATTAATGTACAGAGTTCATCTTTTCATGCTCAGTTTTCATTTGAGTTCAGCAGCTTACCCAAACAGTGACCTCTTGTCCCAGATGCCATAGAGGAGAAGAGATTGTTTACATCAGGGAACGGGGTCTTCTATTTGGGAGTAGAGAGCTAAGCATGGAGGACAGTGGCTGATGACTTATTCTGGTGGTTTTGGGAACAGAAATCATTGCCCCTGACTTGAGGTGTAGGGCTGTCTTTTGGACTGGAGGGTGTGGGGATACTTTCTGGTAGTTGGCATTTCCTGACAAGTCCCTTGATGAATGGAACAGAAATAGTAGCATGAAACAGAGTTACTAGGCTTCCTCTGTTCCATCAGGCCTTGCCAGGAAATATCATTCCCCTGGCTTCAAACCTGCTTAGCTTATATAAAGATTGTAATTTTCCATTTCTTTAAAAGAATTTTCCCTGTATACAAAACAGTGGCTGGGAGAGACAGAACCACACCCTTTCCCCACAAGGATTTCAAATACTGGGATTTGTTTCCTTGACATTATCTAGTGGTTAAGGTGTAATCACTGAAACTTACATAGTTTCTCAGTTGGTATTTGGGCAACTCTAACTTTCTGTATAGAAACTTCCTCAAACCTGTATAGAAAAAGCCTTGCCTCTTAAGGGAGGGCAAGGGGAAAGGGTGGCAGAGCCTAGAGCCTCTTGGCACTCCATACCCTACTAAGTGCCTCCCCACCCCCTGCTTCCACAAAAAAAGCAAAGGCAGTGACCAGCTTGGCTGTAGGGCAAGCCCCCTTGCAGCTGGGTTTGTGACTTTTTTTAAGGCTAGCTCTTGAGGGGTTGAATCTGAGCAATTGGGGTGGGGGGGTCCTTCCTAATGCATTGTTTTCACTCTGCCCTCCACAAATCCCTTGCTAGATATTTGATTTCCATAACAAAGATGAAGGCCCCAGGCCCCTCTGGCATGCAGGGCAATGGTGATCCAGGACCATTGGCACTGCAAGGCGGTCCCACACCCCTGAGAAATTGTGATTTTCTTTCAAAAATTTTTTAGATGAGTACCTTTTAGCCATCCGTTCTATCCCCAACAGCACATTAGGGCTCCCTCCTTCGCTCTGTTGCTATAGTTGCTTAGCTGTATGCTTCAGCCAGGTCCTTGGGGTTGGGCACTCCATGCGCCCACCACCTACCCAAATCCACTTGCTCTGTAGTTGTTGAGATTTCTTCATTTCACAGCCATGGTGCCAATTCCTTTGGAATTGATGCGATTGTTTCTGAGTTAGCATTAAGTACTAACAGCATCTGTTCATACAAAATCCATCATATTATACCATTGGGAGTTCTCCTAAGCCTTGCATGCCTTCAGGCATTGCATCCTGAGCAGATTGAGGCTAGCAGGACAGGCAAAAAGGGTCCTTCCCTTGTGACCAGAGCATGACTTGTGTCTGTGAAGTCTAAGCAAGTAAGGGTTAATCACTTATTCTGCACACCTTGGTGTTTCCCAGTGATCTCACTCCAGACAGCTCTGCAGGGGTGGGCAGAGTGTGCCAGCAGCAGTGTGCTTTCAGGACGGCCTTTATTAACACTCTCCTGCTATTTTGGGTCTGTCTAGGAGTAAACAGGATCTAGAGAGGTACAAGTCAGGTGACTAGGTTGGGCTCCAATTAAAGCTCCATTTTACTTTGGAATGCAGGGGCAATAGGAGACAGCAGGATCCTGGGGTTTGCTGTAGAAGTGATGAATGCCTGTTAATTCTCAGTGAACTCCGACTACGTAGAAACAGCCCCTACCATTAGCCAGAAGAGGTGTCCACCGCCTCTAAACTTCCGTCTCTGCACTGGAAATGTACACTGGTAGTACATGTTCCGTGTCGATTCTCAGTGTTAGTAATCACTTTCAATGTTAGAAATAGGCAGTGGTGGTGATGTTATGTCAGAGTGGTTACTACGGATCATAGCCTTAACTTTTTATGCAAAAGACATAACTCTGTACCCCTCCCAGTGAGCATGCATTTTTCAAAAATAAGTACTTCCATGGCAGCATCTTCTCAAAAGAACTTGATCATTCTTCTGATGCAACTCTCCTCCGCCCACATGCCTCTTGTGTCCCAGTCACCTCTTCCATATTCATATTTAAGCCCGCGATCTGCTCCCAGTGAGTTGCCCAGGCGTTACCTCCAGTGTCAGAGCTACCACGGTAGGGCGAGTGTCTCAGCCTGGGTGGAAGCTTGCAGCGCCATAGCCAACATTGCTTTCGCCAGGTCACTGCCACCATCCCTGCCATTATCCCAAGGTGGGCAAGTTCCAGAAACCCTTAGGGAGCCAGGATAACTAGGCACACCATCTGCACTGGCCATGTAAATAACAGGCACTTGTCTCTGGGGTTCTTGCTTTTGCCGACACCAGGGCTCCAGGCAAGTCCCTTCTAGAGGTTGATGGACAGTGATTCTCAGTCTTCCCCATAGTGGATTGGTGGGAATCAAAATGGGATTTCTATGGTTTTGTTTTCTTGTGGGATTTTTTTATTTTAATTTTTTTTGGTGGGGGTGTTGTATATGAATTATGAGGAAACCTTGGCCCTTCTGAGGGCTTGCAGAGTTTTGAGCAATTTTTTAGCCACAAATCTTGGAAGTCTCATCAATCAAGCAGTCTTAACATGTTTTCCCCCTAACTCCTTTTGCAGGTGACTAAGTGAAAAAGAGTAGGTTTCTTCATTGTATTCAAAATAGTAAGTAGATTCCCTGGATATAGACTGTAGTAGTTGACGTATTTCCTCAAAAAGCAACCAGGAAGTCCACTCCAGTATTTGTAGATCAGCTTACAAAGGAGAAAATGAATGTGTACTCCATATATTTCTAGTGTGATCACCAAACTTGATGTTATTCAGAAACCTCAGATTGGTGGACAATTTCTTTTATTAGTTTCCTTCTTTACTTCTCACAATCATCTTTCCAGTGCCATCACCACCTTCAAAGTCTCAGCGCAGAGGGCTATTCATGGTAGTAAAGGGGGGTGCAATGCAGACATCCCATAACACACACGAGAGGACAGCTGTCCTGAGTGCCCCTTCCCCACACACCCCTCTTTCAGGGCAGCTGAGACCTTTTCAGTGTTCCTCTTCACGAGTTCCAGACCAAATCCCAGGCCAGCCCTTGCACCGAAAGCTTTTTTAAGAGGCTTATCAATTTGTTAGGAATGTCTCAGGAAAGATGAGCCATTTCTTTGGGGGAAATATATTTACGGATGGTTGTGTGTGGTTGTATTTGTATGCTTGTGTCTGTGTGCTCATTTGTGTGTATTTCACTTCCATAAAAACTCAGCCCAGGCTACAGGGATCATGTGTTCCTGAATATTCTAGGAAGTAAACAAGTAACAAGTGAGCTTCTCAAATTAGTGTCACAGCAAGTTGGTTCTGGGAATGAGTCCCATTTATCAAGCAGAAGAATAAATAATGAACAGCAGAAAAGATAGAGATAGAAACCAAAAATAGAAGTGTGTCCCCCCCCAATGGAAAATAATGTTGATTCATCAATGCCCATTGGATATATTACATGCTCTAATTTATTATATTATTGTTTGTTTCACTCATCTTTGCCCATTGTACTTTTAAAAAGATTTTGGGATGTTGATTGCAATTTTTTGAGACTAGATAATGTACAAATCAGTTGTGGAAATCAGTTTTAATTGATGTGTGGATGTGTCTAATCATTGTTAAATGCCTTTTTTCTTTTTTCTTTTTTTCTTTTTTTACCTGTTGTTTTCGATGTGTAATGTTTCATAAACCCTGGCACTGGTCACAAAGCTCAGCTGTGAAAATGAAACTTGTAGTATTTTTAAACATGAATGTCAATTTCAAGTGTATTTGAAATTATTCCTCCAGGAGAGAGATTTGTAACATCATTAGGAAAAATTCCTCTGCAGAGGAACTAGCCTTCTTTGGAGAAAATGGGAAAATGGGTCTTGATAAGTTATCTCAGAGTAGCCCATTTCCTAGGGCACCATGGAAAACACAAATGTGATCTTTAAGTATACCTCCTCCCCAGTTTGGGGAGGAAAGGACTCAGTTTGCACCCTTTTTGTATGTAAAATAAAATGTCTTACCTTTCTTGGCTAATTTTGTTTGGTTGGTTGATTTGTCTAGTTTTTATCTCCCCTGGCTCACTTGTAACTTAAGAATCTGGCTAGGTCTAACTTTGATAGGATTCAAGCCTCCAGTGAATGAAAATAATGTCTGATACTTTGACAGTCTTCATTCATTTGGGCTAAACATTGCCTTCTCTTCTGGGTCACTTTAAAAATGAATATGCCTGCCCTAGCCGGTTTGGCTCAGTGGATAGAGCGTCGGCCTACGAACTGAAAGGTCCCAGGTTTGATTCTGGTCAAGGGCACATGCCCAGGTTTCGGGCTCCATCCCCAGTAGGGGGCTTGCAAGAGACAGCCGATCCATGATTCTCATCATGGATGTTTCTATCTCTCTCTCTCCCTCTTCCTTCCTCTCTGAAATCAGTAAAAATATTTGTTTTAAAAAAAGAATGGGTATATTGTTGTTTCCCTTTCCCTCCCTTCCTCTCTAAAAATCAATTAAAAATCTAAAATATATAAATAATCCTGGCAGAATTCGGACATTCACCATTGACATACTAGTTCCAATATTCCCATGGTTCTTAGGTAGTGGAACACCAGGAAGTTAGGATCTGCTCTATGGAACAGGTTTGAATAGAGCTTTATAATTCTCCACTAATGTAACATCTATACAGACAGAAGGTATAACTGGGATATGCAATATAAACTCACAAGGGCGTATATTGGCCACAAAAACAACTGCCAATCTGGGCATGATTGGTTGCAATTTTTCTGTTTTTTTCTTTGTTTCTTTTCACTATTCAATTACTATGTAAGGATTTGGGGTTTTTTCCACTGGCAGGCAAGTAAAAACAGAAAAAAAAATTTCAGATCTTTATGAGAGAAAAACTTTGCATTGAGACTATTTTACCCACCAAGCATATTTTTTTCTTTCAAAAGTGGTGGAAAAGGTGGGGGGAGAAGGCTGTTCTTATGCCATTTTAGCATTTCATGTTGAGAAGGCTACTTTGAAAACATAGTTTGGTGAGCATTTTTCTCAGTTGATTCGGTAGCAGCATAAGATCTATGAGTGTGGAAAATTAATTCCCACAGAATTAAGGGGAAGGGAGTTTAGATCATCATCTTGGTCAGTGGAATGATTTTATCTAGAAGAACCTCCACCTGATTGAGGTGGTCTGGATTAAGGTGTGAAGATTAGAAAATAGCAAATGTTATTTGTGTTTATGTGAGATTTGTCTGTTGAAGCTCTGCAGCCAGTGTAAGGAAGGACAAGTTAAACTTACGCCAGTGGCCATGCATAACCTGAAACTGAGGTCAGCACCTCATAGAGACCCAACTGCAGAGTTTAGCTATAGAAACAGTCATGCCTACCTGCAATCTGGGCTGTGAAGACCAGGAATTTTTATAATTAAACTTTGAAAATTAGTTTTAAAGATGTTTAATAACATCATAGGTGCACGTTTTGGAAAGATGTACTTTGGTGTGTAAGATTTATGGTACTGAAGTATGTATGTTGTAGACTGAACACCAAGTGAGTGTGACTACCTGAGCTAGGGATGGAAAGGCATCCAACAACCATCCCTGACGTTTCTGAAGGCTTCTCAAAAAGGGAGACTAAAACTCAGGCCTTGGCATGTATTATTTCCCCACTGGGTGCTAATGTGACACTATGTCAACCATAACTTGTTGAGCACAGCCCTGCAGCAGGTTTGGGGGAGCTACAGTATACACAAAATAAGTGCAATATAATCATTGCTCACACACAAAAAAATGTAGTTACTTGGGAAAATAGGTAAAGAAAGTTAGTTGAGCCCTAGCTGGTTTGGCTCAGTGGACAGAGCATGGGCCTGCGGACTGAAAAGTCCCGGGTTCAATTCCAGTCAAGGGCACATGCCTGGGTTGCAGGCTCCATCTCCAGTGGGGGGCGTGCAGAAGGCAGCCAATCAATGATTCTCATTATTGATGTTCCTCTCTCTCCCTCCCTTCCTCTCTGAAATCTATAAAAATATATTTTTAAGAAAAGAAAGCTGAAAACCACACTAGATCCATGTATTACTCTCACAATAATGTTTTTCTCTCTTTAAAAATCAATTTAAAATCTTTTTTTAAAAGCCCTAGTTAGTTTGCTCAGTGGTTAGAGATTCGGCTTGCAGACTGAAGGACCCCGGGTTCAATTCCGGTCAAGGACACGTACCTCGGTTGCAGGTTCAATCCCCGGCCCCATTCGTGGGCAACCAATCGTGTGTCTCATTTCGATGTTTCTCTCTCTCCCCCATGCCCTCCTCTCTTTCTAAAAATCAATGGAAAGAATATCCTCGCCGAAACCGGTTTGGCTCCGGGTTCGATTCCGGTCAAGGGCATGTACCTGGGTTGCAGGCACATCCCCAGTAGATGTGCAGGAGGCAGCTGATCGATGTTTCCCTCTCATCAATGTTTCTAGCTCTCTATCTCTCTCCCTTCCTCTCTGTAATAAATCAATAAAATATATTTTAAAAAAAAAAGAATATCCTCGAATACGGATTAACATAAAAAAAGAAGAAAAAACCACACAGAGTGTATGTGACAGAGTGCGCATTGACTCATACAGCAACAAGCACAGCAAGATTAGAGGAGAGAAAATTGAGTAGTAAAGTGACAGGATAAAGTCAAAAGTGGGTTTTATGTGCCCGCAACCAAGGTACATGCCCTCGACCGGAATCGAACCTGGGCCCTTTCAGTCCGCAGGCCGACGCTTTATCCACTGAGCCAAACCGATTAGGGCCAAAAGTGGGTTTTGAAGCAAGTTTTGCACGGAGCTGTAGAAGTCATACTCTGGGTACGCGCACACGTGGAAACTACCACACCCTAACCCAATAATGCGGTTGACTGGCCCAATACGGACAATTGTGACCGCCTCGGGCCCCTGTTACCCCAAGAGTTACATTTCCGCAAAGTCAGAGCGGCCCGGCCGCGTGACATGCCGCTCTGCATGCTGGGTTTTGTAGTTTCTTCAGAAACCCAATCCCCGCGCTCTTTGAGGGGGCAACGCCTTCTGCGGCTCCTTTTCCTGTAGGTGGGCATGAGAGAGCTGGGGAGCCAATGAGGCCGCAGTAACGTGGCAGCCACCCACGAGCCCGCGTCTTCGCCCGCCCCACCGGGAGCCGGGCCCCGCCCACAAGGGGAGCTACTATCAGGCGCCGATCCGAAGGGGGGAAATGAAGCCCCCCTCCTCCTAGGAGGCCTGCAGAGGCCCCGGCCTCCCCCGCGGCCGCGCTCGGTGGAGGCGCCGGGGCCCACGCCGCCCGATCCCTCACCTGCTTCCGGCCCTCGGCTGCCCTGGCCGTGCTCCCTTCTCC